CTTCCTTTAGACTTACGCAGTCTTGAAATGCCCCAAAGACAGTAAAAAGAAGATTATTCTTCAATTATTGTGCTCTTCTGTTAAACAATAATAAAATCAAAAACTTAAAATTAACTCATCAGTACCGTTAGGTGGCTATACGGTCTAGTCTAAGGACAAAAAGGGAACTCATATTCAGGCAGTATGTACCCAGAAAGGTGGGATTAAAAGATTTAAACAATAATTACAAAGCAACGCTTCCCGCGGACAGTTCAGGGTCAGAATGACCTCATTTATTTACTCAAACAAAATCACATCGTACAACACATTACCAGTGTTCATACAACCACAAGGAGAAGCAATAAAATTAGAGACTGAACAAGAAAAAGACAAATAATAAGGATCGAATCACCATGTGATATGCAAATGTCAAAATAATGATATACAGTCTAAGATAAAAACGTGTAACAATTACAAAGTTAGTTGAAATATTCAAAAAAGTATAAATAGTGTGATTAGATCATCCAGGAAGGATTATTCAAACAATTTTTCCATTACAACCAGTTATTCCTGGTAAACTGTGAAGTGATCAGATGTCTTCTTGTTACAATACACAACAGTATTCAGTAATATTCACTTGAAATCGAAACTTTTTCTCATATGATCAAGTTATCTCTTCTTGTTTTGGTAATTGCAAATAAATAACTGGCAAAATATAAGTAAAACAGATTTTGAAGGGATGAAAATACCAGCAACTAAAAGATAAAAAAAGTAAGCGAAAGTGATCAGAACATTAATTTTTATGCTTTATTATGCTAGTAGATAAGTTAATTACGCAGTGACCACCTGAAGGCATTAAGTTTAGTGAGAAGGCAGAATAGATATTTCAACAGAAATTATTTATGCTACTTTTTTCCATTTAAAGTAGGCAGATGTGCATACACATATACATACCATCAACATAACGGTGTTTCTAACGGAACTCGTACAACAACCAGAAACGTTTTCAGAGGCAGTAAATGGGAAAGAAGAAGCTAAGTAGATTCAGTCGAAATTTTAAATGATTACCCTCCCTATATATATTTAGCCGCATTAACTATGATAATTAGGGAAATCAGTAACAATTTAAAGTGTAGCGAGAGAGTAAATAAAATTAGCAGATTTATCTGTTCACCTGAGGCAATGACTAATTTCTGATTTATTCTTCACCAAAACATTTAGCCTGAACTAAATGGCTACAAAGATAGTTTAATCTACTTATAAATACAAACTGATGAAGATACAAAATCACTTGTTCCACTTGATAGTTATTTGTATTTATACTGGAATTGACCCTACCACTTGTGTATTTAAGCGATTTCTTCTTGTTTCCTGAACAGACTAGTGAAAGTTTTGAAAACAAATTGCAGTATTCGTGCGTATTTTTCCATTCAATAGAAAAGGCAGATTTTTTTTACTTTAAGTCGAATGCTATTCTCCTCAATCTCAAGTGTGCCACTGCTTTTTCCAGCACACCTACACAGTCCAACTTTTTAGGTGAATACAATAATGTTAGTTAATACAATAATGTGTTTATGAGAACTGTTAGTTAACGGTATATGTATACATTAATTAACAGGTAGTAAGCGATAGTTTCTTTTGGAATTTTTGAATACCTTTTAGGTAAATAGTTTCTTTAACCTGTTATTATAAGTTTGCTCTGTTTTTTTGAGACCATAGTCAAAACTAAAACTTTTGTGGAGGAACAGTGCGGTCACTCAGCATTCTCAACGGGTATATCCGAAACTAAAACAGGGGAAGATACGAAAAAAGTGACCAATTACTTCAATCAAAGATTCTTCACGCTACTTGTCAGCAAGATGCAATATTTCGACCTAGGTCAGTTGCTGAAGAAGTCGATTTGTCTGTCATCAAACTATTCATGTCGTTTACTAATCAGCCGTAAGACTGAGGTATGAAAATAAATTAATCCCTTGAAGATAATTGTTAATGAATGTCTGGTCAAAGATGCCTTGGTCGAAATGTTGTGATTAATTGTTTGATTTCTTCCATTCGGTCAAATTGGATAATATTGAAATGGTGTTGATAAGCCATTTAACCTTGAAAATTTCGCCTCGTGGATCTATACTTAAGTTAGCTGGACTTGAAATTTTGAATCTAGGAGATTGGTGTGAGTTGGATGTTTGTTTTAGTTCTATTTGATACATTAGTCACGCCTAGAAAATGAAGAATACCACCAATAAGTGTATTTCTGCTGTTGTCTTTAAAATGTAGTCTTAGTCTGAATTTCATCAAATGTTTTTAACGAACTTGTTATTCAGTGATCCTTACATTATATCCAATTCTGCTAGGTTTTTTGTTTCCAGCTCATTTAAAGATTGAGTTTCTAAGGTCTTTCCTGCTGCTTTAGAGTTTGTATGATCTAAGATTACTTAGTTTTCTGAGTGAAATTAAGAGTAAAAGTGATAAAAACTGTCCAACTTATATCAGTCATTCTCTAAAATTAAGATTGCAAAGAAGAAAAGCTGTAGTCTAAATGTGTGTGACATTTCTGAAGGAAAAAATTAAACGGTGGTAATCGTTTTAGTATAACTTAGTAAATTATGAAAGACAAATAACCAGGGAGAAGAAATGGCAAAATTGTAACTCACTTAGGTTTAAGCTTGCTAGATAGAAAGACTAACAAACTCCTTACTTATGAAGTTGCATTCAAAATGATGACAGATGTATCATTGAAAGCTCTGCTGCCATTAAATCTAAGGTGTACCTCCATCTAGTAACTAGAATATGTTTGCACAATTAGATATGGACATGAGAATGAATGGGGTTATAGTCTTTTATATGTCACATATCTGAAGTCTACCGCATGACAGAGACTGTGTACATTACAGTGCTGAATATCATGTTAGTTAGTGCTAAGTGTCTGATGAATCCCAAATATCAACTTTTTAATATAGTTATCAATATAAGCGAGATGGTATATTGATGACTGAATATATTCACCATCCCTAAAATTTACAGATATTTGTTAATTATTTGTCGGTAAAACTCTTGAAAAGTCCCTGTTTCTTTCAAACATTTCAGTCTATATCGAAAACGTTGTCCATAAGAGGGCATTCAAAGACTGAACCTTTGTATAACTAAAGTAGATACGCCAATATATCTCCGGATGTAGCCATTAATGTCCACTGAATAACGTTTGTTAAAACCTTCAACACAAAACTGAAGTTCACCATCGTTGGTGTTGGGTATCAGAGTAGATAGTCTCTAGAGTTCGGATTCCTGCTTTCTGACGCTCATGATGAGCTATGTATTTCATGGAGAGCTGAGAAAGATGACTTAAAAATACTTTTCTGGTGACAGACGCAAAATCACTAGCTTAAAGGTTATTGTTGTTATTTGTTACTAGCTGGTGTTTAGCACCAAGGAAGTAAGGGTTTAGACGGTATAATAAGTGCATAATGCAATACTCAGACCTAGGGGAAGTTCACATTGTAGTTGAATAGAAGACTCTTAGGCAAGAATATCTACGTTTTAAATGCCACTGAGTTCATTTTCAACTATTAACCCAATTCCTGCCACAATCAAGGAGGTAAATTAATCAAAAATTCAATAGTAAGTGGGATAAATGTACGATACTGTTTCGTTTATAAAACAAGGAAATCTGTAGCTGCAGAGCAAGCTACATTGGGCGTACAATTAGGCAGGTTCATCATCGTATTTCCGAACACTTTCAATTCTCTCATTTAATCCTACAACGTATTCTTAAGTTCCATAGGTTTTGCTTTTTGAACTTCAGCCAGAGTGACAGAAAATAAGCACAGTCAACCATATCAAAGATTTCAGTTAGTCATATTTATTCCTATATGAGATCACTGCAAATATAGTCATTTGGTCACTACAAATTAATGTTCCAACAAATGATATCCGCTGACATTATGAAACCGAGAAGTTTATGTGTGAGAATATACCTATGCGATTTTAGGAGAATGTGTGTGACCCAGCCTAGGTATGATCATTCCTCCTATTAGGAAGAAAAAGTGGAATAATAACATACATTTTTTGAAACAGTGATAAGACCATAAATATTGCAATGAATAAATCTGTCATTTGAAATAGTGGCTGAACATGGATGCATTTTTATGGTTATATATATATATATATATATTTGATTGAACACTAGTCAGTAACTAGTGTAATGTGTCTAGTCCTATCTTCGGTGCAGACTGAATTCTATCAGTCATGTTTGCAATGTGGCCACCATGCTAGGTGGCTCGCCATTACGGTGCACTGTGAATTGTTGGTACTAGATGGTTGGAGGCATTCGGCAGGAAGCCTTGGACCTAGGTTTCGTGCTAGTTGGCACTCATCAGCAAGGCGTATCTGCAACCTTGAAGGAACTGATGTCCCTTCTGAGATTCGAACCCGTTTCAACCAGTGCTGCAGTCAGAGACGTTACCACTGAGCCATTCAGGCTCGCGACTGACCTCCTGTAGGACTGTATTGCATATTTTTGATTGAACACTAGTCAGTAACTAGCGTAATGTGTCTATATATATATGTAAATTCATTAATGATCATCGGTTATTGCTTGTATAATCTGCTATCACCTCTTAATCAGTATGCAAAATAGTTAACTTCCTAAAAAACACATACTAAGCATAATAGTTAATTTTTAAATCTGTTGAACAGAAATCAAATTATTCGGGATTTGCTATATATATGAGAAAAAATACCTACAGTATTATCGCTCATCACAATTAAATCAATTTGTGTAATTGAATCATTTCGTTTTGGTTAACAGTGTGTCTAATCTAAATGTGATTATTAAATAAATGTAAACTAATTGACACCCATACGTATATTGGTTAACTCGCTAAGATTAACATTGTCCTATCAAAAGTGGGTTCATCTATCTTAACCACCCACTGTGTCCGAATTAACACTTATCAACCAATCAGATTTTTTCTATCAAGAGTGAAGCTAAATTTTGACGACGAATGATGACAACAGTGTTGCTGATTTATTTTAGTGCGATTTATCCATTTATTAATCTTATCTCATTAGAGAAACCTTGCTTGTTATCAACTGCTAGTCTCTGTGACAGTTAATTCTTTCTTGTCAGGATACAACAAGACAACGCTTGTCACTGAAGAAATCATTAATATGTTTGTCGTATCAGTTCGTCATCAGCATCACCACTGACAACAGAAGTATCCACAAAACAGCTTTATACAAAAGATAAAATTGAAAAATAGAAAAACTAATATTGCCTGTAGTTATCAAACAAGTATTTAAGGAAGAATATCTGCACTGAATTTAGTCGTTATTTATTTTAATATGATAGAAATGATGCTGCTCTTTCGGATAATTGCTTTGCTAGCACTTTCCAACCACGTCGTTCATGTGACTCCCAATGATCTAATATTACATTCCGATTTGAATAAAAAAAACTCTGTGGAAGAAAAAGATTCTAATGTGAAAGTCATCTATGAGGCAACGAGATCTGTATGCTATACTAAAGGTCAAGCTGTGGAATGCTCTCCACCGTTTACAAATATAGCTGAAAATGCTGAAATTAAAGCAACATCAACATGTGGCGAACATGGTCAGCCGGAACAGGTATGCCGATATTCTATGGGGAACACAAAGTGTGAAGTGTGCAATACAGCTGACAAGTTTGGTACTCATTTATTAACTGATAGACACCAAATGAATAATGAAACCTGCTGGATTTCAGGATCTGTCCAGCCTGGAGATACAGTTAACTTGACTTTATCTTTAGGGAAGCGTTTTGAAGTGTACTATATTTCTTTGCAACCATGTGGTCAGTTACCGGACTCCATTGCGTTGTATAAGTCGTCTGATTTTGGTGTGACTTGGAGACCATGGCAGTATTTTTCAACAGATTGTTATCGAGCCTTTCGTTTGCCTACAAGTAATGAGCACAATGCACAAATATCTCTAGCGAATATACAAGAAGTTTTATGTGTAGCATTGAAATCTTCAGAAATACATGATTCCTCGGGACAGTCATCAAATGTTATCGTATTCAGTACAACTATTGGACGTCCATCAGCACAACCGTGGAGTTCAGCTTTAATCGATTGGATGACAATGACCGACTTAAGAATTAGTCTGATGAGATTTCCAGATCATAGAGACGATATTCAGCACGATTCAAACGGTTTGTTCCTTAACCCTAGTATGCTGAAGCCATCCAAAATGTTCCATGTTGGTGGCGGTGTTGGTAATGGTGGCAACTATGGCGGCCTTAATATCAATCATATTTTATCTGAAACAGGCACTCTGGATATGTCACAACATCCATATCAATCTGATCAACATTACTCAAAATTGCCCAGCGGTAAAACAGGTGTTCACTTCGCTTTTTCTGATCTGTCAGTTGGTGGACGATGCAAGTGTAATGGACATTCTAATCGTTGTGTAAGAGATAAAATTACTGACACAACATCTCCAGCAGTCAATAATAAAGACAATAATGGTCAAGTAAAATCACACTGGGGTCCACTTAGGTGTGACTGTCATCATAATACTGAAGGGACAGATTGTGAACGTTGTTCACCTGGGTACCTTGATAGACCATGGGCAAGAGGTACTTCTGAGTCAGCTAATGAGTGTAAACGTAAGTTTTATAATTAGTCTTAATATTCTAATGTATCATGTAAATTGTGTTTCATATTGTTAATCCTGTGAAATTATTGGGGCAAGGGTGTATATATATATGACTCCAGTGGGTTGTATGAGTGCCTTCCAAACTCACAATATTCATGATTAGTAAAATGGTGTGTAAACATTGTAACTTGGGTGTTTTTAGGAGTATGTTTGCCAGGGTAACTGTACTTAATTTAGCTGAATTCACCTACTGTCTGCGTAAATATTTATCTTAACTTATTTAGATCTTAAGTAATATTCATCAGTAAAACTCCCCTTACTCCTGTTTAACTGGCTTTGATTAAGAAAACATAGATATCCTCTTTATTAACCTAAAAGAAGCGAGTGTCATACAGTTTAATTTAAGTTATGGTAGTATTTGGCATCCAATGTTGTTTTATATATACATTTTCAAACATTTTTTTCGCACGCAAAAATAATATGCAGTTGGTATTTAAAGTGGTGCATCAATTTTAATTCGTTTTACGTTTATGAAAGCGAAAGAATTACAGAGAAAAATGGATTTTCATAAGCCTGTATTTTTTAAATTCTTTATGTGTTATACTAGATATTTCGTCATGAAATAAGAATACTTTTAGATGCTGAAGGAAAATTGGCTAAGAATACGTAATTCTTATTAATTAGTCAAGATTCACTCCTTATTCTCTAAACAGTTGATCTCAAACATTTTTCCAAATAGCTTCAGTAAACGATGAGAGTATAGATGTACTTAAATAATGAAGTTCATCATCTCACTCCATTAAAGCAATAAGGGAAAAACATAATCTATACATCCTGACTTTAAGTGTGCTACTTATATTCTATAATTTTCTCGAATGCTTTATTTAAAACTATATAATCGATATTTGTATTTGTGCACTTTTTTAATGTACCATATATGCGACTGGTTTTTTTTTTTTTGAAAATCTGAAGGTATTAATGATAATAGTGAGTATTAATCAACGCAAAAGAATTTACTTTCCTGAATATTATTTTTAAATTTTAATGACAAAATCGATGACAGAATTTTTTTCCCTATCCCACTAAGTTATGCAGATAGTCAAGAATCAATTTAAGTAAAAAACTTGATTATTGTTACAGGTTCATAGAAGATAGAATAAAAGTACTAAATAAATTAGTTGTGTTCTCTGAGCTGGTTGATTTAATTGCAGAGCTTTCATCGTCCTTCTAGAGAACACCTTCAGCGCAGGTTTCAGTATGAAACGAACTCATTCAAATTCTCCATGAATGATGTACTGTATCCCTTGACAACCATTGTTGTGACTGGTTGTTCATTTACGTCTCTGTTGATCATTTTTATTGACTTGGAATTGGGACTTTCTTGTCAAGTATTGGTTTGGTAGGGATTTTGCTTAATTGCATGGAGGATTTCATCATGAGCTGACATCAGTTAGAGAACCACTGGAAAACCTGGGAGTACTGGACAGCTGTTTCGTCCTAGTTTGGGTTTCTTCAGCAGTACGCGCCCACCGGGATTCGAACCCAGGACCTTCTGGTTACAAGGCGAGCTCGTAGACCATTGAGCTGAAGATGTTGTCTAGAAGGACGACAAAAGCTCCACAGTTAAACCAACCAGCTCAGAGAACACAACTAAATCAATACCATCCACCTGAGCTACAAATCTTCTCCATTATTTCAAAATTATATGATTAATTCATAAGTAGATCACTGTTTTGTTGATGTTCCTAAGTATTCATTTTGATCGTGGAAGCAACAAAGTTGTGAATGGTGTTCATGACTTAAAAATTTCCTTCCACCGGCGAAAAAACCCCTATGTAGGATTTAAGCGTAATTAAAGCTTATATAATGGAGAATAATGGCTAATTTTAGTCTTTAGACATGAGGTAAATATCTTAATACTAGTGATGCAATGATGCAGTCGCAATTGACAAAACTGTTCATAGCATTTAACTTAATGGCAAAGAAAAGGCAAAGAGAATTAGCAAAATCAGATAATCTGTGGCTGGATGACTGAATGTGCATAACAATTCTTTTCTATTCAGTTTATTTTTCAACGAAGCAGATAAGATGTCTGTATGCATATTAGAAAGATATAACTCCTCTATCCACATGCCTTTCTTGATAGTGTCCTGTAATCTTAATCAGTAAGCATACTGTGCTATATCACTTATGAGTCCTTTGCAAATAGTTCTGAGCAAGATTGTCGCGGATTATTTACAGGATTTTTGATTGTATCTTAGATGCTAGTTTCGTTGAAAACCGACCTATCAACACAGTTCACATCTGATTTTTTTATTTTGCCTCTAATATTCAAACTTGTTTTACTTAGGCGAATACTAGAAGAACGTAACAACTGTTTCTCATTGTCGTCGAAATAAATTATCTAAAGGAACTTTTCAGCTGTACAGATGATTAACATATAACTATTTAATCAATTTATTTTACGGCCTCTGATATGGCCTTTGCTTTGTCATAAGACAATCTTTTACTTTCGATCAGAAAATGATTTACTTGACTGTCATTCAGCAGTAGTAGTATGCTTTAGCTTTCAGTAAGGAATTTAAGAGACAAGAACGTTAAGACCAGTGACTTTGAGCTGGTGAAATTAGAAGTTTTTATCCGACAATTTATAAAAAGATATGCTATACTGAGATGGATTACTGACCTTTAGATTTTCTCGCTCGAAGATCGCTTTTTGTATTTACCGGTAGTGGGCTATTTGCATGTATAGGAAAAAAGATAGTACCTTCAACTGTCTTCTTTTATCCTGGATCCAAGTTCATTGATATCTGATATAAACAAGGTGATGATTTTAGTTGAGACACAAACCAGAATCACAGACACTTCATTATACCAATAGCAGACAAATAAATTTAGTCTACCCCAGAAACTCCTATCAGTAGTGTGTGAAGCGTAAACACCTTTTAGAAATTTTTATTTTTTTTTCTTCAGTTACGCTTTGCAAGATCTGGCATTTCTATTTCTACTTTCACCCCTCAGAATACTCATTGACTAAGCAAAAGTGATGTAGTATGATTTGAGTGCACTAAGTTTGCTTCAGACCAACTTGCCTAACTTCCAGAGGATATATCAATCTTCACTGACAAATGACATCCAGTAACTATTAGTTTTGGTGATGCCATTAGTAATCTCATTCAGTATATTAGCAGTTTTATGGGTTGTCTCGATTGTAATTAACGAAGTACTTTAGAAAATTAGTGAGAAATAGTGATACTGTTTTTAGTGAGGAATGATTGATTCATAAAGAGAAATGAGTAAGTATAATCGAATAAAGTCTCTACTATATATATATATATATATATATATATATATATAACATACATATTTATAACGAGTTTAACTTCACAGTGTACAAAGAATTACGTAGTCAGGACATTACAAACTCAGATCCTGCTGTGGGGAGAAAGTTTTTTGTACAATTGCAGACTATAGACTGACCTGAGCAATATGTCTTCTTCACAAGAACCTCTTTGTTAGTGTCCATCTGTATGATATTAGGTGGCTTTAATAAGGTGCAGAGTTACCATTTACATTTCTCATCAGATTTTGCCCACACAAAAGCATGCATATTCCTATCTGCAGAGCATCTAATCAATAGGATTTCTTTCTAGCATCTCATCTCATTATTTACTGGGATATATATCCAGAGTTCAGGTTTCATTGTGATGTAAACTACACTGGGACTCTGATGGTATTACGAGCGAGTAGTATCGGCTTATTAAAGGATATACAACAACAGAAAAGATTTGTAGCTCAGGTGGATGATTTTGATTTCAGCCCAGAGAACACAACTAAATTAAAGAATATCAAATTTCAGCATGCAAGGAATATTGAACGAAAGAGGAAAAGCTCGGCACTGTAACAGAATACCATTAAGTACTAAATAAATGTATTATACATAAAACACAACGATGCGACATCAGTTAAACCAGTTATTAATAGTGTATCAATGTATGTCACATCAAACTGCCATTTAATATGCAATAAGCAGTATACTTTTAAAACAGTAGAGAAATTACCTATGTAACTCACTCTGTCACAGATAACTTTTATTTTTTCAGTAAGTCTGTGTTGTTCACTATTAGACAGATCAGTTCCCTTCACTTTTTTATTCTGATGACCATACATACCACTACCCAAACTGTGTCATTTTTGACTACCCGAGAAGAAAAAGGAACCTAGGACTGTGCGGTTTAGTAGCAAGTGCGTTACTACGCACTCATTTAGTGGGAATTCACTTCTGCGTGTTTTCTCACCCACAGCCAAGGGTGTAAACTGATAATGGATTCAGTCTAAAAGTAAATAGGGTTTTAGTGCGGTTTGGTTTTCACTGCATTTCTAAGTGGCACTATCATCTGTTGAATACAGCAATGTAGTTAATATTAGTCTGCCAAGTGAAAACCTTAAAATTCAGTAGATGCAGAAAATTGTGCACAAGGATATTACGAGAATTAAGATGTTTTAAAGTGAAGTGATCTCATTTAAAAATATGCACAAAAAAATGACGCGAAATGTGTTTTCTTGTTTACTGTTTCTAAATATTACCATTAGAACCTCAGTTGATTTTTACGCAAATTTCCATTCCCAATTCATAAAAACTTCATTTTATAATGTCAAAAACAGAGGCTTACTGACAAGATAAAATGCTAATTTGTGAGGTTAAATAACATAAATAACTCAATCTCCCCGATGACCAACATTACTGGAACAAACGTCAAGTAGAATTACAGATCACTGACAAATAACCATCATCACTCATCACATAAGTGAATTTGAAATGATTTACATGACATTTAAATTTATTAAGTGAATTGGTTAATTATTCAAAGCAGAAATGTTCACTAGGAAAAATGCCAAGATGTTGTGGCCCTGTGTCATTAGTTTATCAACCAGAAAGACATAATGTATTCGATAAACTGATCTCTTGGTTAATTAGTTGATTAGCGCATAGCAAGTTTATATATATAT